TTTTTTTCATTTTTCCTTCACCTTCGTACCCATGCCTTCGTTTTGGTGTGCAAAATCACACCATTTGATGAGATGTGCGTCAATAGAGTTTACGATCGTTATTTTAGCACAGCTAAGGTTTTGGCATTTAAGGTTTTGGCACAGTGTAGGACATTTGAAATCGAGCCAAAAATCAAAGTAAAGAAAAGAAGAACCGATATCGGCGTTGAATTAATTGTCGCAACCGGTGATACTCGAACTTCATTGGCTTTCAGAAGCGATCGAACCGTCTGCGATAAACAATGAGCGGTATATTCTCCTGCTGAGCCCTGACATATAAACAAGCATCAGTTAGTGGAAAGAGGATGAGAATTCAATGAAAATTCCAGAATCTAATCGATACATACGAAAGCTTACCTTTGGTACTAGCAATTCGAGTGTCATTTCATCACGAATGTAACGATCAAACCGTGTCCAGTTGATTCGCCAATAAATACCCTCATCACCCTCAGGTTGCTGCGCTTTGCGCTTTCTTGATTCGTCTGTGGGTTCTGTGCACGTAACATTCAAATAGACTCATTCAATTATGGAGAAAACCCTGAAGTCGAAAAAACTCACCTGAATTGCCTTGCAGAATAACCTCCGGCATAATAAATGGATCAAAGGCGCTTTCGAATTGTGGGCACCCTTTCAACGACGAAACCACCAGCGGACATCTTGTGACAAACTGAGCCTCACTCAGTCGACAGAACTTCTCCTTCACCTGAATCAAAAATTTGCACTCCAATAAAGCTCACGAAATTTACGATAGAAGGTAACATCTACACGGTTTTCTGAGGTGCCTATTTTGTAACGAAGGAATGAAGCATAAAAAAGCATAAAGCTAGCATTGATCAATCCCGTTTTGGGATGCGCCACGTATTCTACCTCCATTCAGAATCGTAAGGTCAGTTTGAATGCGACTTGGCCTATGGCCTTTGGATGGGAGTCTTGGTTGGCCCCGACGACGCACAATACAGGATTTTGATCCCTGGAACGCGCGTCATAAAAGCGCCACCTGCCCCTACATCACTTCCGCCTTTAAAAGGATTGCAAGATTGCAATTGATGTCTCCGATAGTATTACTGGAAGGAAACACCAACTCGTTTACGAAAAGGGAAAGAGGGTTCAACTTAAGTGTGACTAGGCCGATGTGAAGTAGCCTGTAAGTACCAGAGCTTCACGAGCAGTGCGCTGGAAGTCTTGGAAAGTTGCAATAATGGAAGGCGGAATAAGAGTGGTGAGGAAATGGTGTAGGGTATCGTCAGAAGGATTACGAGAGAACCGATGGACCGCTTGATTTCAGTCATTCTGCAATCACTACTTGAAAATAGTCCAGCAACCCAGGACTAACTGCGGAACTTGACGAGAAATTTTGTGATTTGCAGCAAAAACAAACGTTTATTTCTCCTCAATTACTCTAACTTATTACGAGTACAGCTTCTAAATTTTGTAGCACAACCTCAACCCGTTTGACGTTACTTTTTGTGTTACACGTGCGTAGTGACTGGGAAAAAGATTTATTTCGTGTGCACGCTCACCATACTTTACTAAAATACGTTTTACGCCCCTTCCGATTTCATTGACATGAATGCTTTGTCCTTCTCTTCATTTCAATAACTGAACATAGATAGGTGGACTGAAAGTAAGATGGGTATCGTGCACGAAGTGCGCTGTCGGGAGAGCGGAACTAACCATAATGAACATGAAATTCTTCAAGCCATACCAAGCCCAAGTTTAACAAATGTCTACGATCCTAGATAGGCAACGCATTTCACTGGAAGTTCAATCACTGTTGAGAAAACTTACATCGGCCAAAAGGTTGCTTCTACCCGCCGACTGAAACTTTACGAATTGTGTCTGAACAGGTGAGTCGACCATAACTGAACAGTTCTTCACATATAGCCTCGGCTAGTCCCCCGTATAGCGTTTTCACTATGAGACAACACCTAAAAGCATTCTATTCATTCTACTGATCTTTCGTTCAACAGACAAAAGAAATGTGAATTACCTTGGAGCTTTGGAGAAAGCCAGTATCGCTTTTCTATCAACAGTATAGATCAATCTTCCCTGACAAATCCGCTTTGAAATTAACAACAGAGTGTTGAATGAGTATTGCCAGAGACTTTCTCACCTGCAAACAATAACAATAAAACAACATGCATTGATACAGGAAAATAAAACAGATCAAACATGAAAAATTGGTAGGGAACAGCCACTGAAAAAATAACCGTGAAAAGCGGTCATTGAAGCTGCAACTGTATAGGTATCTGGCATTTTAGACATGCAAAAGCAGTACAAAGACGAAACCAGTATTAACTTTTGAGTGAGGTTTTCTCAGTGTAAACAGAAATTGGCCCGTTCAACACAGCTTCCAATATTAAGTTGATGTGATATGAATGGATGGAACGTGAACCCAAAAAGTGCACCCTTAACGTCCTCCCCCCCTCAACCCCCCCCCCATTCGCACGCGCCTCCATCAAATCGATGTCAAATTAACACGTTGACGACCGCGCTATTTTTCGCTGTCTGGCGTGTGGGACCGCGCGCATTATTTTGACCGCGCGAGTGTGACATGGCATCATGTCAAACGGTCCCACGAAGAACTCCTTTTTCTCAGGAAGTGTGTATTTGTTATCTTTCTTGTGTGGTAGGTCTCCGATTATGCGATTTTGGCCATTTTAGCGATTCCTGTGATTTGATCATTATTCAAACATTTTTAGAAAAACTCGATAGCCCATCAACCGAAGCTTCTTTCCAGGGACCACGCCTTTTGTAACAATGCCTAAGTATGGCGCATACATCACGTAAATAAGTTACCTAAAATGTTTGAAAACCAGCTTAAAAAAGACTGTGACATGACATCATGTCACACGGTCCCACGTGGCCGAAAGAGTGTGGTATGACATCATACCACACGGTCGTCAACGTGTTAAGCTGAATCGTGTTAAAACTCTGTAGAGTACCTGATGTCCGATTAAAGGCAAGAATCAGGCACTACATTGATGGGGTTGATTCCACTCAAATGTGAAAGTAGGGGATGGGAGGTGGACCGCCAGTGGAAAAAGGGAAAGAAATCCTGAAATACACAGGAAATACGAGCATTTTGCTCTATGCTGTGGAGAAGTTCAAAAGACAGGCAGGGAGATGAGAGATAATGTGAGCGCGGAGAGTGGTAGAGAAGTCCGAGAAGAGCATAGCATCAACGTGGCGACGCAGACAAGATATCGAACGGTGGGCGGACCATGTTAAGTTTGGTGGAGTCTGTTAGAAGTCCATGGCGCCTAATGGAGTCTGTTAGAAGTCCATGGCGCCTAGGGTCCTAGTGACGCGTTTCGATGTAGAAAGGTGGCGCTACCTTTGCACTTGCGTACCCAGCACTTCTAGCCATGGTAAGGGTTTCTTAGGTGGGTCCGAGCCCAAACTATGCCTTTAAAGATCAGCGATGGGGTGTCAACATAAGAACTAACTTCAACGATTCTTCACTTCCACACTTGACCCGGCATCCGACGCACCCACACTTTTGAACCATCTCGGCCTCCATCACAGCCCCGGATGAGCAGTGGCTGATTGCGACTTATGAAGAAGAACAGTTTGCCTACACGTTCGCTGAACCAGGACGCAGTCAGGATTAGTCATAGGTGAGTTTTTTGGCTTCATTGGCTGGAAGCCAATAAATACTCGTCCAGGGATGTAATAGAGGCGGAGATGATTCGATGGTGTGGCAACCAAACCACAAATATACCTTGCTCCCTTCATAGTTGAATCTCTATCCAAACAAAAAATAAAGAAGTAAAAACAAAAGTATTGGGGCAAGAACATTACCGTGTTAAATTTCACTTGACCCTTGAGACGATAAATAATGGAGGGAAGTGGTCCAGGCTCCGTAAGTAGAGTGGACGCAACAAGAGCCACTGTTTTGCCAAAGTGCTCCTCGATGAGTACTTGACAAAGCTCGGCCTCAAAATGGCCTGCCATGCTGGGTTGGCTGGAAAGGTTCCGTAATGAATCACAGCTCAAAAGTTGGAACTGTCCACGATAAGGACATCGGCCTCCTACGGACCTGAACTTTTGGAACAAACTGTCCAGTATGGGTGAAGCTTTGACACTTTGTAGGAATGCAACAGAAAAAGCATTCACAGACATTTATCTGACCAAATATTATAGTATTCATAGCAAGTAGGAAATAAACAATTTAACAAATTCAACAACAACCAAACAAATCAACAACGTGGTTCAGCCATAAACTCTCACTATCATGTCCTTCTCTTGATAGCCTTATTCTGAAAGCAACATCATAGATAAATCTGACAGGAAATAGAGGTAAGTGGTCTCACCTTCGATTTCAACTTCGATTTTTGGCTCTTCTTTCTCTCGAATCGTGACTTTTTACCTTTAGGTCCACCAGCATGTCCTCCCTTCCTGAAAACACACTTGTAGGAGCACGGTAAACTTCCCACGGACAACGAAATTGTTGAATATTATTTATTGGAGTATCTAAACATTAAACAAATTACCCTCCGAAGCAGGGTAACCCGCGTGGGAAAATTTTACCAAATTCGCTCCTCTTTCCCTCTTTCTATGAGTACAATTCTCTTTCCCCGAAACCCCTATAGCGAACCCCTTCCGTACCAACTATCACCACTTTCGCCGGCTTGTTAGTACGGAGGAGGCAGCCAGAAGCAATTCCTGCACTATATTTCCACACTTTAAAGCTTGAAAAGGATAAAGCATTTGCTGCTGATCAATCGTTTTTTTGGGAATACGCACGCACTGCTTCCCCTAAACTTCCATTTGCACACTCGTAATGGATGTGACTAGTTAATGACTAGCTGCGCATGCCGATGTGCTAAATCAGTGTTTTATCCCTCCGACAAGTGTGGTACCAATTAACCAACCCCAGAAAAATGTATGACTCGGTTGGCCCAGACGACGCACGACCCAGGGTTCGACCTGCGGATCGCGCGCGTGGTAAATGTGCACTTGCCTCTACACCACAGCCGCCCTCTTTACTACTATCGCTCACTTCCACATTTTACTCCTCCTAATTTTCTCTATTAATTTCACGCTCAACGGAACGAACATCACCGAATGCTCCAGCTACGTGTACCTAGGTCGGGAAATCAATATGATGAACGATCTAGCTCCAGAGCTGAGCAGGAGGAAACGAGCGGCTTGGGGAGCGTATAAGAACATCGAGGGAGTAGTGAAGAAGACGAAGAACATCCGGCTCCGTGCCCACCTCTTCGATTCCGCTGTCCTTCCTGCCCTAACCTACGCCTCAGAGACTTGGACTCTGCGCAGGCAGGACGAGCATGCGGTCAGCGTTATCCAACGCGCTGTCGAGAGGACGATGCTAGGAGTAACCCTATACACGCAAGTGCAGAGGGGAATCCGGAGTGCCGAACTACGCCAACGATCGAAGATCAGGGACGCTGCCGTTTTCGCCAAGGAATCGAAGATAAGGTGGGCCGGACACGTCATGCGATTTTGCGATGACCGTTGGACCAGAGCGGTTACCGACTGGATCCCTCGGGACGTCAAACGAACACCTGGACGACCGCCGGCCCGATGGTCAGACTTCTTCACGAAAGCTCTGAACGAAAGGAATGAAGGACATCGTGTCCCTCGAGCGAGGAGGGTCCACTGGACAACTCTTGCACGCGACAGGGACGAATGGAGACGTTGCTGGCGCCCGCTCGAGCAATTCGATGATCAACGGGACGACAGGTGATACAGGTGAATTTAAAAATATTATATATTATCTAAGAGATACCCCACCCCAAATTTCGTACTCGATCTCTCTTGCCTCCACCAAAGAAAAGACGACCTCCTTTCGAGGGATCCTCTCAGAGCTCACCCTTCTCGAAAGCATTTGTCTTGTACCGGCAGTTCTTGCTAGATCATTGTTTCCAATAACCAGTAACACTATGACTTGCTACGATCAATGTGAAACATCTTTCCGAGCAGCAGTAAAAAAGTTTGAGATTGGAAGACATAAGATTTTCCATAGAAACTAAGTGGAAGCAAAATTATATCACCATCACACTGAAAATTAGAGTCTGACCTTTTTTTATTGGTGGAGAGGGCCTCTCCAGATTCATCCGCATCATGTAGTTGCCGAAATTGAACAAGTCGTCCATGGCATTGTCGCGATTTAAGCGTTGCTCTCGTTTCTTTTCGGCCTTGCTCATCCGCAAACGAACAAAGTGATCCTCCTCTATCTGAAGCGAAACCAAAGCGTACGATTATTTCAAAAATAAGCATATCACAAGCACTTACTTCTCCCTCTCCCTGTCGGCATCGAACCTTCGCTGACTCTTTTCCTTAAAAGGTTTGTATACATATACTATAGTTATATATTATTAAAACATCAGAAATTAATTTGGTCTGGATTTTAGGTCCAAGAGCGTAAACATGACCCTAGGTGTAGCAAAAAACGAAAGAAAATATCACACAAAATTCATGAAAAAAGTATAGAAGGCCCCACCCTGAACTCCTCTGGAGCATCGCTGTATTGTTTGTCTGAGTTCCTGAACGAGACTGCTTTGAAGCGCACGCCTCTCGCTTTTTCCATAGCCTTCGTTTCATGCCCATCTTCATCCTCTGCAAAGTTGAAGAGAATAAATTACAGAGCGGAAAGTTGAATTGTGATGACTATGAGGCGGAGACGGTATGGGGACATAAGACATCACTGGAGGGAGGGATGTTAAGAGATGTCCTAACCATAGGTCTAGCGCGTTCGGGTTATAGACGTATACTGTAAGAGCACTTCATGAATTACGGAAGCCCAAAAATTTTACAAATTTTGAGGATGAACACAAGACAGACGAGAGATCTTGAAGGACAATAAAGCATCAGAGACCATTGAAGTTGGAACCACCCACCTTCATAACGAAACGCTGAGCTCGTGATTGTTGTAATTGATTCACAACGTGCTGTTTTTATTAACGGCCATCATCTTTGGTGGAACATATTTTTTCGGCTTCTTGTTGTCCTCCTCATTACCTTGATCTTCATCTGATTCGTCATTATCATCATCAAACTGAATAAATTTTCTTCCTATTTTAGTACGCTCTAGATTTCAGACTCAATAGACAGTACATAAAGTGATAAGCACTAGTAATTTTAACAGATCAAATCGCAAACAGGCTTATCGTTAACTGGTAAGGTTACCTCCATTTGGTCCGGTCTAGCACGCAAAGGAGCTTTCGCTTCACCATTATCGAGGCTCTGTAACTTTAACTTTAAAGAATTACTTCAATGACATATAAGATACACATACGGCAAAATGATGTACCTGAACAAGCTTATCTATCTGAGATCTCATTTTCTGCTCTATCGGACGTATTCGTTCAAGAATCTGAACAAAATGGTCAGCTAGTTCGAAATAGGTATGATAAAGACTGAATGGATCACGGAACTAAAAACATCATGTGAAAATTTCAAACCCACAAGGAAGAATAACAAGGCGTAAAGTATCAAGGAACAGGGTTGCGGTAACGTATAGAACAAAGAGGTGTTTGATGATGGCGAAACCCTCAGGAAGACGCCACGAATACTACATCCATTTAGAAATCGCATATAAATATTGATGGACCTGACCCAGACAAAATACACATATAAGCATGCTGACTGTCGTTTCGGTGACTAATATTTGGCTTCTTCAAAACGATCAGAGGATATGGAAAGATCAACGGGTGGGGAACAGACTTGGCCGACCCTTCATGTGCGCCACCGTGTCTCCCACCACAAGATAATCTTGGCGTTCTTAATATCAGTTAATATGTTATCACTTAGCCCCAACAAATGAATAGAATTGAAAAACGAAACGAAGAGAAAGAAAAAGAAGGAGAAAAAACAAGAAAAAAGAGAAAAAAAGAAAAAAAAAGAAATGAAATACACCATGACATCTAAAATATAAACTTACCGTTCGATGTTTGGAAGCTCGAAATACAGCAGGATGATCTTTTATAGACTTTCCACAACTCATGTGACTCATGAGTAACGACAACTCAGCCATATAGCTCACCATCTCACGATTTTTCACATCCAGCAAGCTTATACCCTAAAATGAGAAAGTTGATGTTCCAGAGGGTGAAAATATGGTACTGGACGAAATG